CAAGAAGAAACATTAGCAAAAATTAGTAGTGTTAGGAATATCCATGTGCAAATTCGATGGAATTTTAAAAGCATTATTTACTGTTTGGGGGAGTGTTTTGAGTGTTACATGATTAATCAGGTTGCTTAGAAGTGAGAAAGATAGCATCCTGTCTTATTCTTCCTCCTCGACATTGTCTTGATGCTGCATGAATGCATATTATCGGTGATTGACTTATTAGTTCATAGACTAAAGAATAAGAGAATGAATAAAAGTAATAATGCAATATCTACACACTATTAAAGTAATGTAAGAAATGGCAGGCTTAGGGATGAAATCATCTGTATACTGTTTTAATGGAAACCGACTTGAATTTTTAATGTGCTGGGTTTCTACATTTGTACAGCTTCCTCAGATTCCTCAGGTCAATTTCCTTAAGACATACCTTGGCTATTTACTGCTCTGATTTGGGAGGGCTAGCAAAAGCAGGGGTCCAGTAGCATATGTTAACTTCTTCTACTAATATATGCAAACCAACCAAAGAAGATCAATTTGTTCAGTTGAGAGTGCAACTTAGAGTTTTAAAGGTTTAATTAAGGCCCAGGATTTTGCTCTCATCCATCAGAATATGTGAATGACTAGAATGAAATGGGCTGAATTGGTTGTCCTTCCTTACTGTGAATTCATAGACTGAAAGGCAATGTTATTTCTCTGTACTTCTAAGTGGGTTAATGGGGTACACCATAGGAAATGGGAATCAATTAAATCTCTTTGCAGACAGAGACTGGAGTTAAGGGTGATACAGCATGTGAGCTCAGTAGCATGCATTCATGATAACGGTGCCAGCCTGTAAGCAATTTGCCGAGCACATTCAAGGGAAATGAAACGCACTCAAAAGCTCTCCAGGCCAGTCCTGTAAACAGCAAGAAGTCAAAATAGATAAAGTTCTTTGGCATAGGAAGGGCAGTACAGAATAATTCATTAAACAAGTCATAGGTTCTCCATGAAATATATAGTGTTTCTTCCCTCTGGCCCCCTCCCTAGTTTCTTTAATAAAGTTAATTCCAAATAGTTGCATAAAATTGCAGAAGTTGTTATGATACAGGCTACACGAAAAACCAGAAACAGCAGCAAAGGAAAGCTCTTTGTCTCTTTGCCCATCTCATCTCTGTACAATGTGGCTGGGTGTACCATGCAAAGTGAAAACATTTGAATAAGAGCCAACATATACTGAGTGATTTTTAAGTGCCTGGCACTATGTTAATTGATTTATATGAAATTGTTTATTTAAACTTTGATGCAAATCAATGTATTAGGTGTCATGACAGTTTCCATTTTATGAATGAGGAAACTGAAGCACATTAAGTAACAGGTTCAGGTCACATAGTAAGTGATGAAGCCAGGATTCAGCCCTAGGCAGCTGGCTCCAGAGCAGTGTATAACGCGATGCTACACAGTGTTGCCTATGCGTTGATCATTCTGTTGACACATCTTCTAGATGAGTTAGAAAGCGTTATACTTCTTTGTTGAACATACCTTGGCAGTGATTATCAGACTCACAGAGAGGTAGAGAATATAGGGAGATTTGGTTTTATTCTTTGGGTGCCAGAGAAAGATAATCTGGTTTACATAACTTGATGGTGGTTAAGTCACCAGTATCTTTTCATTGAAGTGATTAGTTAGAAAGATTTGTATTTAATTAAATTACTCTGATGCCATTTCATTACAGTTCTTTACCGTTAAGTGTGTTGGAATGGTGGGACTCTACAGATTGCTCTTAAGAAATTTCTAACCTAGTGAGACTTTTGAGGACTCCAGAGAGATGAGTTGAAAGGATTCTAGGATGCCAGAGAAAAGTAAAAGGGGGCACAGAAGGGTAAAGATATTGGTCTGAAGCTACATAGCCATTAGTTTTAGTGTCTGGGCTAGAGCCTAGTTTATCCTGTAGGCTATCCTATAGATAAAAAAATACTTTCTTCAGAAGTCTTCTGTATTTCAAGTACAGAGATGTTATTTTTTTCAGTATATTAAGTTGGAAGAATTAAGATGATGAGTTTCAAAACCAATTGTCAGCACCTCAAGTTGTAGAGCCCCTAGAGATTTTGTATTTGCAGGTTTGCCATGCGTTGATAGCTCCAATAAGAAGACTAGCATGCAGCTACTTTGTCTCTAGGAAAGGTTTTTCATGCTAGATGGGTTTTCAGGAAATTGTATCCTTGGAGTTGTTACTAGAAATCTGTCTGCTACACTGAATGATAAATGTGGAAAGTTACTGGAGAACGGTAAAGAGATGAGTGCTATGATTTGCTTGATTTTCTGATGCAGGTCGACTGATAGGGACAAAATGTTTATAGCTTCATCTAGACTTGATTATTATGGGGTTTCCAAACATTTTTAAAGCCCTACTTAGGTAGATGCTGATGTCGAAGTTGGTTCTGATCCCTTTGCAAAGAGACCATTCTATGGTCAAGTCCAGTCTTACTGAAACACAAATTATTTTGGTTTTGGTGATGATGGAGCACTTACTTGAAATGTCTTGGTAGGCTAAAGCAGGGTAGTTGGCTCACGCAAAAGAAAAACAATTGTTTACAATTCATTTTTTAAAGTATTGCATCTGTCCAGACTCAACAATGCTAATGTTTATACCAGAGAAACACAATTAGCAAAAGTCATTGGTTGGAGTTATTTTTAAATAGACTCATTTCTTTATTTGAATTAACTTCATGCCTGCTGTTAAGTTGGAGTAATTAAATTTCACATTTATCTGTGGATATTAACATGTTCACTTTTTAGCTTTGCATCAGGCTCGCTAAATAGTTTCAGAGTCAAAGAGTAAGACTTAAGAAAACCTGACAAATTTATGTCCTTTACAGTGTTTATTCTTAGACCTTAAATTATTAAATATATAAATATTCTTCCTTGTTTCCAGGTATTAATTTCATCTTTGGTTAAAGCTGTTCCAAAGCTTTATGGTGTGTGTGTGATAAAGGTTTTGTAGACTTCTAAATTTTATTTTATTTTATTTTTTATTATTGATGCCTTGGAAGCCAGTTGAATAACGTAGTTACATTTTTGTAATTAGAATTTTATAATGTAGATTTAATTAATGCAAGGATGATAGTGCTTCACTGGCGATACTCTCTGTTTGAATTATTAAATTTTTACTGAAGAGGAGGCTTTCCAATTAGGGCTTTGTGCAACTTCATTAGCTACTTTACAATAGATACCACCCAGAAAACTGTATATTCATATTTGGCACTGTAAAGTTTGCTGGTTATAGAACAGGATTACATGCTCCTTCCAGTTCCTAATCTATGTTTCCCTTCCTCTTTTGCTGCTCGTATCTGTATATAAACAGATTCAGTAACTGCCATGCAACACAGCTAACTTCAATACCAGCAAACACCGGGCTTCAGTTATAGCAAGTTTCAGTAAAAGGTGATTTGAATTTGGAGCTTAGGGTACATACTAGTTTTGTAAGTTACTCTATTACTTGCATAAGGTATACTTTCTGCAAAATGACTTGCATAACATTTGTCCGTCAAAGCTAAGTCTTTACCAAATAGGTGGTATTGATACTTTATCTTCAAGGTAGAGGTAGGGAACGTACTCAGCATTCTTTCCCATTTTTTGATGGAAATTTCATGCTACCTAGAGCAAAAGGATGATTCCAATATAGTTACCATCTCAAATGTATTTCCAGACTCACCAGGAGAAATCTGTTACAATGAGTTGACCATGAGGGAATCCACTGAGGACTGTCACATGACTGATGCCTGCCTTTTGAACTGGCAAAGGCAGTGTAATAACCACACTGCCCCCTGCAGTGTTAAGCCTTGAAAGGTCCTTGAATTTAGACAAAAAGCAATTCACTGTAACCAGCTAGTGCATCGATAAGAAATGTCAGCAAATTCCCTCAATCACTAAAGAGTTAGGTTAGGGGGTGAGGCTCAAGGGAACAAATACACAGGAACTGCACAAAGCTTCTCAAGAAGAAATTTTACAATGAATGAGTGTATCTTTAGACTTCCAAGAATAATGATAATCTTTTGTGAACCATAATTTAAGAATGAAATACAGAGACGGAAAACCTGCTAATAAATTCCATCAGGTCAGGAAGGTTATAAGTACCTTCTTAAGGTCCTTCTCGTCCATCAGAGTCTGAGTAATTCTATAACGCAAATTCCCATAACAAAGTGGAAAGGTACAAATAATGTTGAAGAAGAATATATCTTGAATATTCCTAAAACTATTTTATAAATCACTTCATAAGCACATCAAGCATTGGTGTCGGATTTCAACTTCTACCCAGTTGTGACTTATAGTCCCAATGCATTGATTTTTAGGAAATTGATTCCAGCATGGGAAAGAAACAATATGCTGAAATACTGCAAACTCTCCTTTCCTACATCAATTCCATTTCACTTAATATTTCATTTACTGGGAGTGATTTCAATGTGAATGACTCTCTCTGCAACATATAGTGATCATGTTTGGCTTTTCATTGCATTCATACCGTTTTCCCCACGTGGGCTTTGAATTGTTTATTTAGTTTGATTATGCTCTGAATGGAATATTTGCCAATCACATTCAAGGGCTTCACAATAAAGCAAAAGACAGAAAATAAGTATCTCCCTAAAAATAAATCACAGGGTTTGGAGAAAAAAGATTCCTTATCTATCAAAACTTAAAACGAGCGACTCCTGTGACTCACAGCTTACATCTCTGCACAGAGAAATAGGCACAAGCATACCGTTGCCTTATTGATGTCAGAGCAAAAACGTTTGTTGTCTACAGTTACAGATGCAGAAATATTTTTAAGGTTGTATAAGGATGCACCACATATTTTTAACAGTATTTTCCTCTGCAGGAGAGATACGAGAACCAAGATTTGGGGTGTTGAATTTATTAAAAATGCTCTAATTTTTAAAAAGAACTCTTTAAGATATTACTTGTAACGTTAAAACATTACTTGTAACATAAATTTTAAATAATGTCTTTAAATGATTTTTTTATACCAGATGTTCCAAAATTCCCAAAAGAAAAAATTGACCCTCTTGAAGTGGAGGAGGGTGATCCAATTGTCCTCCCGTGCAACCCTCCCAAAGGCCTCCCACCTTTACACATTTATTGGATGAATATTGGTAAGTAATGTTCTGTTGTATCCATAAGGGGACATTTTAATTTCATGCATCATGTAAACTAACATACTGATAACTAACATAAAGATAAAAAATTAATATATGGTTGTCAATGTGAAATCAAGTAGATTTTAAAAACTATTTCTATCTGTTGTCTTCTCTAAGTTCTAAATACACATGAAAGCACTAGAAAACCACTAAATATGTTTCTTGATTTTGTCATATCTGGAAAGAGTAGAGGATTTATTTTATTGATGTGATAAAGTATGTCTATGAAGGAAATACTTTTGGTATTCCAAACAATTTACTTACCTTTGGGATATTATCCATGTCAAAACTGAGGATGGCTTGTATCTGTGTTGCTAGCTTTAAATTTCTCTTTTAATAATGTTGTACCCACTTCGTACAGTGACACACATAGAAATTAGTATTAACTTTTGTGTTTAATTTGTCAAAAACTTTTACCAATTCTTGAGTTGGAATTCCAGTTTCTTGTAAAGCCTACTTCTGGCATGTGCCTTAGCAGCGCTCTGTAAATGTTTTCCCATTGTGTCCCACAGAGAAAAATAATAATCGTACAGCATTTGAAAGAAAGCAAAAGAAGCTACTCTTGGCTGCAGCCCAAGTTGCAGATTCTGTTCATCTTAGAACTTTCCAGGCTGCATCCATGGAAGAGAGATTAATATCTCAGACACACTTTTGTGGAAATTTGTTTTAAAGATATATGATCCTAATAAAATAAGAGTAATAATTAGGCCATTATCTGAATTGGACCAGTTTTCAGATAAGCCAGTGCAGACCCATAAAGCACAGGTAGAGTCCTGGATGGTCAGGGGAGGTAGAATGCCCAGACTGATAAGTGCACTCCCAAGGGTTTTGTTATTTTTTGTATTTTACTTCTTACTCACTAATTGCTTTTATAATAAGACCAGACTTGAGAGGAATAGGAAGAGCCGACATGAAAAATAAAATAAAATTAATATAAAGGAAAGGATAATGAAAAAAGGAGATGAGACATGATAAAGGACAGTTGCCCCTTTTAATGACAAGATATTTCTTTTCCAGAATTAGAACACATCGAACAAGATGAAAGAGTATACATGAGCCAAAAGGGAGATCTGTACTTCGCAAATGTGGAAGAAAAAGACAGTCGGAATGATTACTGTTGCTTTGCTGCATTCCCAAGATTAAGGACTATCGTGCAGAAAATGCCTATGAAACTAACAGTTAACAGTTGTAAGTCCAAATAATTTCTCGTGCCAGCATGAATGGGGGATACAAATGTGTCTATAATTTTATTCTGGTTGAAGCCAGTTAGAGCTGGGTTGATATTTTCCACCAGTGTTTAGTTCAACTCTAGAGATGTCATCTCAATGAAAGAGACATCTGCAGCTGTACATTGACGGTAGCTCTGTCTCCTGCATCCAGAAAATCAAATCTCAATTCACAGTACAAATGTATTTCACTTGAGGTCTGGAAGGTCTAGTCATTTCCCCTGGGCGAAATACATGAGGAAATTCCAGGGACTTTCTAAGCAAGTCTCAGGCTCTGGATCTCTGTGATTTTGGATAAACCGGCAGGCTGACAATGTGGAAGAAAAGAACAGAGTCAAAAATAAAAAGAAGCAGTATTACGATTTTTATCACATCAAGCTTTTTTGTCCTTCCCAAATTGGCAAACTTATTTGAATTGCTCCTCTTTCCTAGTTAATTCTGCAGATGCCAGTCTGGGTTCCTACATTTGAAAACAGTCCTTATTAGTGGGAGAAAGAACCATAGATTCAAAGGGCAGAGATAATCTCCAGCAGTTCACTGACTGAGTAATTGGCTCTGGTGGAGTCAAAAGTTGGCATGACCATTCCATTGTCTAATTTGGTTCATAATTTTTTCATCATTGTGTGTAGATTCACTATGCCAGGGCTTCACTATAGCATCCTTTTGGCAACCTCAGTTCTCTTTAATGGAGCTATAATTTGTATCTTTTCCACCTGGATTTCATCTGTAGTAGTTCAAGATTAAGCTCGTTATAAATGTTTTTCAACTATATCCCCAAAGGTGCTTTTCTAGTGAAGCATGGTTATATCTCATTTTGTAATTTTTCTAAGAGAAAACTATGGCTTTTCATTCTGTTTTGATATCTGCATCTACCATTATGTTTGTGAGTTTTTTTCTTCCATTTTTTTATTTCAGTAAAGCATGCTAATGACTCGAGTTCATCCACAGAAATTGGTTCCAAGGGTAAGTTGATGACGTGCAGAATGTTGACATTTATTTTCACCTACGGTAGCTCATTGTCATCTTAGAATTTGAATTTTTCCTTTAATACCGTCGTGAGTTTATTAAAATACTAATATTCTTAGTAAGGAAAACTCCTTAGCGTAGAGGGTTCTATTTCCTCCCATCCCCATTAAATATATGTAAAAAGGAGTGATATTTATAAATGCATAACTATATAAATACACCTATATACTTATAGATGATATAATTAACATAAGTAAATACACATATATAACACATTTTTAATGGAGTAATTATTATAGGTCTCCCAAAATGTCTCTCCTGGTTGATCAGCAGTTTGGTTCAGAGCTGTTACATGAAGAAAAGGAAAAAGGACTGGTCGAGTGTAACAGACATAGGGAAAGCGTTGGGTGTAAGAAAGTTAGATGGTTATTTTCCGTGCAAGACCTCTTGGAGTACTTAATATACAACTGTCCATTGTGACTCACTGAGAAAGAATATAGGTTGCAGCGTTTTCCAAACTCATTTGTCTATGAAAAGGTTTTTATTTTTTTGTGTTTCCCATAGAGCACTTACCACAGTCGTGTTCTATGGAAGATGGCTGAGTAAACCTGAATTATATAGTAGGCTGTTTTTTTGTAAAGAAAAGAATCATTTGTTTGAATGTGACAAATATTCCTTTTAAAATTGGCACCAGCATTGAACCCTCCATGCTTAGATATCTAATATACCAGTAACATCGGCAGGGCTGGATAAGGGCTCCTCTTGGTACACCCTCAGTTTGAAAATGGACTGACTAGGTATATATGGCCAACATCATTTCCTTTGAGGTCAATAAAACAAACATATATTGTCATATCTCTCCAGCAGTCAGTAAAAATCATTGCACATACTACATGTGCAAAATTATTTTTCAAGAAATAAACACTTGGAAGGAAGCTATAGCAGGCTACACAGAGCTGCCAGTAATTTTCATTCTTCTACTCTGACAACAGCACGTCACCTGTTTACTCTTTGCATATCACGTCAAATTACATTGATATTGGATGTGAAACATAATTTGTGTGAACACTTGGAAATGAAATCAAAGTTTGCATTGAAAATGGAAGTTTCCTCATTTTCCATTGTATTTGAAAGTATTCTTAGGAAAATAAGAAATGGAACATTTCCTTACCCAGTTACTGGGAATGCTTCTGAGTCTTTCCTACAACAGTGTTTGTCTTTGAGGGCCTGAGACTGCAAGTAGAGTCACCTGAAGAGCTTGATAAATTCATAGATGCCTGGTGTGCACCACAGGCTTCCTGAATCAGAATTTCTGGGTGCAGGGCCCAGGAAGCTTGTCAAATATTTAGGCACATTTAAATTCAAGAAAAATACACATGGCCATCAAACATGAACATGTATGATTAAAATGTAGAATATAAAACCATTGGCTGTCAATTAACTTAAGGGCTTTCATCAAGAAACTAATTATCTTGAACAGTGTTTGAACTTCTGAATTTGAAGATGTGGATTAAATCATAACCTTCATAAAACTTGATGCAACACTTACTTAATGCATCTGAAGGGCAACCCATGCTTCGTGGTATGAGTGGAATCTATTTAAATGGGAGTATATTAAAATGTGTGAAAAACATGTGAAGTAAATGTGTGAAAATAAATTAAAATGTGTGTGTAAATATACATACACACACATAGGTCCATATGGTTAAATATTTTTTAAGAAAGATTGAGTGCCAAAGGAGTTTACTTTTCTTAGTTTGAAAAAAAAAAAATCTGAGCCTTTTCTGTTCTGCTTTGTAGCGAATTCAATCAAGCAGAGGAAACCCAGACTACTGTTGCCTTCTCCGGAGAGTGGCAGTGAGTCGTCCGTTACCATCCTCAAAGGGGACACCCTACTGCTCGAGTGTTTTGCTGAAGGCCTGTGAGTAACTTGACCCCGTTCCTGATTTTTTCCGTTCTGTTCTGTAAAGAATAAGGTAGCAGTGAAGGGTGTGCCTGCATGCATCTTTAAAAATGATTTCTTTAAAAAAAAAAATCCTGTTACTACATCCCTGGAGAAAGTAATCTGCACTTCACTCTACAGATTTCAGGCTGTGACTGAGATTGATTTATAATTAGATCTCTCTGTCAGTTGGTGAAAGTGTGAATGGAGGTGTCAGTGACAGCATTCTCCTTGGCCCAGTCAGCAGTGGGATGCCATCCTTAGAGTATGAGGTTGATAGGAGTCCACCCATCACTATTAGTGCAAGGTTTGTGTCTCTCAGCTGTATTTGTCCTGCCCCTGCTTGTTAATGTCTTTTCAGGTTCCACGGAGCCCTATTTATCTATTATTTCACCCACCTGTCCTTTGCACACAAGCAGGTCCAGATCATGCAACTTAAGAGAGTTTTACATCAGAACTCATGAACCACACCTTTTTCACGACTGAAGAAATAACACTTTTCCAAATCCTCCAAGTAAAGGCTAAGGAGTCTTCGCTTGGTCACCTCTTGAAATTGTGACTTTATTGAGTAACTACCGTAAGTCAACGTAAACAGGGACCATCTTAGTTAATACTTGGTCATACAAGGTCACCTTTTTCCTATCATCATCCTTCTATGCTTACCACCACATACCCATCCCTGCCATTGGGAATACCATGAGAAAATACATTCCACCTTCCTAGCACCCAAGTTTACATAATCAGTTCGTAAACTAAGGGCTTTGCATAGCTGGGCATCTGGTTCATGGACTAGAGTTTGAAGTTCATACTCATTCATAATCCAGTGTATATTCTGAATGGGTGGTTTTAAATTGGATTATGAAGAAAAGGAGCAGATTTTAATGGTTTTACAACCCCTAAGCTTTGTAAATTTCTCTTTCCATCCAGCAGAAATATTCAGGTTGCTTATCTGTCTTAAATTGCCAAAGTGTATGATCGAAAATTAATTAGACGTGCAGGGACATGGCCTCTGTTTGGGAATTTCGTCTCTGTATTATGTGAGGAGATGAAAGACTCAGGTTCAGTTTGAATCATGTTGGTAACTGCCTACTCTTTTGTTCTTATTCATATGCGTTTATAGTGGTAGAAATTAAATTCTTTCAGGGTTCATCACTATTCTTGGTTGACTCTTTGGGCAGGGAGAATATGTCAGTAATCCTTTTTTCCTATTTCTCACAAATGCTATAACTTACCTCTTGAGTGTGCCGGCAACTACATGGATTGTCTTCAATATAATAGAAAGGCTCTCACATGCTTTTTGGAAAATGCAATGTCATGAAGCAGTATAGAAGAAGAAAGTGAACGTCAATGTGTGTTGTCTTTGGGAACTTGAGGATGCCTGATGCCTTGTCAGAGGAGTTTCACCTGAAGTGGTTTCTTCTTACTCATCGTGGGTTTGGGTTGGGAATCCTGGCTGATCTGGTTGCCTTTCAGGTGAAGGTGATACATTGTAAAACTTTTAGAGTACCTGAAAAATTTTCTCCTTAGAAGTTTTAAACTGCCGTAACAAATATAATTATAACGAGGACATTGTCCTCTTTATTATGTGTCAGATGGTACGTTTTGCCCTTTACATACATTAGCTCATTTTTTTTAACATCTTTATTGGAGTATAATTGCTTTACATTGTTGTGTTAGTTTCTGCTGTATAACAAAGTGAATCAGCTATACGTATACTTATATCTTATATCCCCTCCCTCTTGCATCTCCCTCCCACCCTCCCTATCCCACCCCTCTAGGCATTGGCATATGTACATTAGCTCATTTTATCCTCACTGTTTCTCATGACAGTTATTCCCATTTGCAGCTTAGGCAAATGTAGGCCAGAGAGTTGAATTCACCTCTCTACACTTAGTATGAAGTGGAGGCTGGGATTCGATCCTATTTGTCTCCTAAACTCTCTCTAAATTAAACTTCTTTGGCATATTTCAAGCAAATGCACTGTTTTGTTCAGTTAAAGCCAGGGTGAACAAAGGATGGCATTACCCCTGAATCTAAAGAAGTGGGTTATAGTAGATGTTTCAGAAAATGGCTATTAATAATGAAAATATTGATACTATTAAGTAAAATGGGAAGGCTTTCACAGGGAAAGGTTGAAGGGTTCAGATTCTACAGATTCTGTAAGGTGGAAACTGAGAATAGTTAAAATGATGTTGTGAATTTCATTCAGAAAAGAAAAGCATTCCCTCCCCAGAAGTGCAGACAGTGCGTCGCTCAGTGGAAAAGACCATATTCATGGGCCAGTGCACACTCAGTCACACCCTGTGAAAGCTTCAGTAGGATTAAAGGCGAATTCCCTCTGCTGACTGTTGGGCTCAAATTTTCTCTCTTTTCTCTCTGTTTTGTAAATTCACGAGTTTAAGCTACGTACGATTCTTTTGCAAACAAAGGAAGTATAAGAATTAAAGTTGGCTGGGCAAAGACCTGAACAAAAGCTTGAGATGATGACATGGTGTATATTTATGTATAAAAATGGATTAAGCAATATATTTTCCTTCAAAAATTTATTGTTCTAGTGCTGTTAGTAAATGCTTATTAAATTTTAAAAAAAAAAAAATTAGCAAGAATATCGCTGGACGTTCTTGCAATGGTATAGATGTGTCCTTAGATGAATTATGTCTCATAGTCATATGATACTTGCAGATAATCATTTTATCCTGTTCTTTCAAAGAATAGGTATTAGAGGATCAGACTGGTTTCCAAGGCCTAACCAAAAAAAAAAAAAAAAAAAGATTTTACAGCAAGTGAGATGCTTGTACTATTAAAGCATGGGCTCACGAAAAACTCCTGATTTGGAGCAACTGAGGTCCAGAGCACCCTGTAATTTGGCAAATGGCCATTTTGACAGATGGAGTGCAAAGCAAGCAGTTAGGAGGCGTGGGTTATGCATCCTGTTGGGTGGTGTGCTCAGGAAGCCAACGGCTAACATACTCTCACAACTGCCTGTCTGAGCATCGTTACTGTTTCCTGCAGAAGTGAGCCATGGACTGTAAGCCTGGTAAAATAAAAGGTAGTGGTTCCAGATCCGTAAGGCTGGTAAGTACTTGAGCCTCAAGGGAAGGGGAAGAGACTAGATGTGTGTAAAAGACCTTCATCTTTACCTCTCATATTTTTTGCATAATAACTGAATTAGTTTAACCACTGCCTAACAATACAATTTAAGATAATTGACACAAACAATATGAATGGTTCAATTATTAACTAGTAACTAAGTTCCCTACAAGCCTATATTCCAAGAATACGTGGTTAGAAAGGAAAAAAAAAAAAGAGTTGGAAAAGCACAAATAAAATAGAACACATTGATCAAAAGAACAAGTTTAGTCAGGCAAATTCAAGTTCTAATGTGTCATTACCCCAGTGACTTTAAACAAATTAACTTCTTGAACTTGAGAATCCTCACTGGTAAAATGATGATAATAATGACCACGTTTAGAACATACTCAATAACTTTCAGGTATTAATGATAAAAAGAAATATAGTGGGAAGGAAAAAAAAATCATCAATAAAAGCAACAAAAGTGTCTTCCACTCAGTCATATAGCCCAAGTGAAGAGGAGAAAAAAAAAAAATCCATCAGTTAAAATCAGGCATCAGTGTTTTCCACATCATTTTTAAATCACAAAAGTCTAGAGGGTCCCACTTCTCCGAATTGTCTGGTTTGCATGAGGTGGGATTTTTCTGTTTTAAACGCAGCTGGCTCGATTCCTCCTTCTTGCTTTCTACCCAAATAAGGTGGAAAAATGTTACTGTGTTTGTGTGTGACAAGTTATCAGTCTGGTTATTGTTTTGTTCTTTTATCACGTGTTTGTTTTGATTGGGTGATCTAATCTTTCTAGGCAAGGGAGATTTGGTTCATTCCTCTATTGGTGTATTCCCCATCAGGGTGGAAAGCTACTTGGGTGGCCAGGTCTGTGCTGCAGAGCCCACCTTGCCCTATAATGAGCTATTCCTTGTTCCAGACAGCACGTTGGGCCCCTGCATCTGAGTCTTATTGTCCAATATCAGCTTCATAAGGATTAAAGGGGGTACCACAGTTTCCCGCTGCTCGCTGTTGGGCCTTACTTCATCGTGTTTTTCAAACTCTTCTAGGGAAGAGGGCCGTTATTTCTGGCCCTTTCAAACCACCCACAGGGAGATAGCACACTTGAAAAATACCTTGTAATATTTCTACAGGTCCAGTAATCTGTCATTCATCTAACCATATCTATTCAGCACTTACATGGAGTTAGCCCTCTCAGTAGAGGAAATAGAGGATTTCTGAGGAAGCAGCTTAGTGAAGGAGCTTGCAATGAAAGAGACTTGATCCAACCCTGATGTTCACCATGGATGGTGGTGGGCAGGTCTGTGCACTGGGAAGCCTGATGTTTTTCAGTGGAACTCTGAGTGCAGACCTGAAAGCACCACAGTGAGGGATGTGTCCTGTGGATTTCTTTACTTTTTATTTTTCACTTAAAATAAATGTTTATCATTTATGTATTGTTTCACAGACCAACTCCACAGGTTGATTGGAACAAAATGGGAGGCGATTTACCAAAGGGAAGAGAAACAAAAGAAAATTATGGCAAAACTTTGAAGATAGAGAATGTCTCCTATCGGGACAAAGGAAACTATCGCTGCACAGCCAACAATTTCTTGGGATCAGCCATTCATGATTTTCATGTTATAGTAGAAGGTACGTTTCCCACGTTGATTTATTTTTCTTCTATTTTAAAAAAAAAAAAGGAATCCATATGTAGTTGACCTCTAATGCATATATGTTAAAACAGCTAAGCTGTTTCAACTTTTAATTCTAGAGAAAGCAATGGAATATATTACACTTCAATTAATCAGGTTTGTCATTTACCCCACAAAGCCACATAGAAGGGACAAATGACAAGAAAAGATCTCTGGTTAGGGACTGAACACAGATGACTTCCATTATTTATTTGAATAGTCACTAAACCTAATCTCCTATATCACCATATTATGAGAAGAAAAATTTATTTTAATATACATGTGACACTGCATAATATGAAATCTTAAGTAAGCCTTACCATGGGAGAAAGTATGATGATGGGCCTGGAAGAGACCTTGGACTTTCCCAGTCCTGTCATTAACGTCCTGTGTCCTTGAGCAATTTACTTCACCTTTCTGAACCTCCATTTCTTCACCAATGAATTGAGGGAGTCAGACAAATTATTGTCTTAGTTCTTTCTTATTTTGGGGTCCATATCTTGGGTTCAGATGATGTTTAATATGTTACTAATGGGGAAAGAAACAGAGACAGTATGGTGTAAGTGTTATTTCTCTGTCAAAAGGTCCAGAAAAACACGTTATATTCAAGTCATCTTTCTGTAAACAAGCCTTTTGAGCAATGGAAGTTGGGCTCTTGTTCGTTGTACTCATAGAAATAAGTAGGTGATGATGTCACCATTTAAAAAGACGGTAAGCCACAATATGTAGATAGCAGGGTTCTGCCTGCTGGGCAGATATAAAGGTTGCCTAGTCATCCTGTGAATTTGATTGATGCAGACTATTTTCTGTGCTTCTGATCACATTGAGGTTTCTGTGTATGGTTTGCTTGACTGTATTGATCAAATTAATGGGATGATGACTGCATTTGTACTTATTTAGTGCTGTGTAGGCTTAACTATTGAAACGAATGGTCTCCTTTAGGTTTCCATTTAATGAACTGGTGCTCTAAGGCTTCCATTTTTATTCCAATAAAGTTCACCTCTTAAAGCTTCATTTTGCACAAGGAATGCCTAAGTGTAAAGGCCCACAGTTTTAATTAGTGGAAAAAAAAATACTCAGACACAAATTATATTCACAAGTAAATGTTAAGATAACTTGTAATCATGCTGCTGTTTGGAAGAGCAGCGTATTTCCAAGACCTCTCTCAACGTGTGTGATTGGTTAAGTTAGGAAGAATGAAGAACCAAAGATGAGAATATCGTTTCCCTTAGTTCCACACAAGCAAAACCTGTATAGGAGAAAGCCTAGTATTATGGATAAATAGCAACATTTGCCGACAGTGACATATTCCTCTGACATTAAATTATTCACTAAGAAATTCAGAGAGGAAGAGTTTGAGAGATTTATTTTTTTTCTCTAATTTTAGTCATCGTTTGATGCCTCTACATAATATGGCTATACCATGCAACAGGGGTGTGTTTCTGTAACTCCTGACCCCGCCCCCGCCAGCACATACCCAGGAACCAGACAGGTCTCACTGTTAGCTGCTCGTACTCCGAATTGCTGACTATTAGAAATCCTTCCAGATGGCTGGAACATTGCTACGGTAGCTGAATATTTTAACAATCTGGCCATGGTTTTCTTGACTAGAAGACTGAAGCTTTCAAAAGAACTGCAAAGGTTGCAAAAGGAAAAAATAGATCAAGGATGTAAAATTAATTACACAATTTAAAAGGTTGACTATAGGACTCCAAAGGAATATATGTTTCCCGAACAAATTGTCCTCACTATTCATAAAACAGCTATTAGCACTATTGAGATGTAAATAATGTTTTTAGGAGGAACATTTAATCCTTTATCCTTAATGAGAAACTACTAAATGAGCCCTCAGTTGTATGTTTTAGGAGTTTTTCTTCACCCATGCGAGTGAAAAGCAAACTGAGCTCAAGAAGTCTTTTTTCTGTTAAGTGTGAAAGCAGTAAATATATCCTTCATTAATCATATGGACGGATGAGTTCACTTTCATTCAATTTTCTTCTGTCTTGCTGCACCTTCTTCTTTTTCCCTTTCTTTGTCTCTTGCTTGGAAACTCAAATAACAAGGATTAGCCATATAGGAAAAGAGCAATGTTATTGTGAACTTTGAAAATCTAGCGCATTCTGAAAACACTCATTGTGCTTAAGTAAAAGCATGTATTTTACTGTATTCTCTATATCTGTGATACTTCTTCTTTATTACTAAACACAAACTCTGTAATTTAGGTTACAACATTCTAAATAGGAAAACAAACTGCACTTTCAAATCCTATAATATGTATAAGCAACAACAGCCGGGATGTCTTGCTGAGGCACATCTATCCTTTCTAGGAATCCATGGTCTAAATATATTACACATTCAATGAAAAGAGATCTATTAAAATGGCATCTAAAACTGTCCAAATCCAGAAATCAAAGTATGACCACAGTCCCATTTCCACTGATTAAATAAAGTCACGGTACAAAAGTTTACAGCACAAACATTGTTATCATGTAAGGCTTTTGAAACTTAGTAAGTATATAATAGGAAAGTATTTATACATAATTATATACCCATAATTTTACTGCATTTTAAAAAGATGGTATGAACTCTAATGCAATTCAGTCACTCATCTATTTAAGAAAGCCTCATTTTCAAATAAATTTATTTCCAGAAAGCTGCAATGAAACTCAAGTTTGCTGAACCTAATAATTTTTGATTTGTTAGGATATAGATATTTTATAGAAATCTGTTATAAGAAAATAACCTGTGTTGTATGTTTCATAGGTACCAAATTTCCTGTTTTATTTTGCTTTCTGTCTAGTGAAAAACATCTCTAATTAGCTTGCTTATCACATTCTACATGTTCAGACATTTGCATCTCAGTTTTGAGCAGTGTGAGAGAAATTTATCATCTTATTTTTTAATTTACAATTATGACTAAATGAGTAAAGTTTCAACATAAGTTGCTTTCATCAGCTACCATAGCTAACATTTTTTTTGTTTTGTTAGTTTGGTTGTTTTTTT